CTCTCAGCTTCCCAAGGGAATGGCAAATTCACTCAAATGGCAGGAGGTCACTGCGAGCACGGGGCAGGCAGTGAGGTTGTGGGCTCTGCAAAGCCCCTCCAGAGCCCATGGCAACCGCTGAGGCTGCTGCAATTGTCTTCCCTCCCTCCCTCTTCTCCAGGGGCTGAACAACGCCGTGGCTCTGGATTTCAACTACCGGGAGCAGATGATCTACTGGACAGATGTCACCACGCAGGGCAGCATGATTCGCCGCATGCACATCAACGGCAGCAACGTCCAGGTGAGGAGCTGGGACAGTCCTGGGCTACTCCTGGCCACTCCTGGACATCCAGGTGAGGGGCTGGGACAGTCCTGGGCACCACTGGCCACCCCTGGATGTCCAGGTGAGGGTTCAGAACAGCCCTGGGGCACTCCTGGATGTCCAGGTGAGGGGCTGGGATAGTCCTGGGACACCCCTGGACATCCAGGTGAGGGGCCAGGACAGCCTTGGGGCACTCCTGGATGTCCAGGTGAGGGGCTGGGATAGTCCTGGACACCCCTGGACCGAGCAGCCAAGCCTCACCCACCCCCTGCCCTGCTGTGGGGTCACCGCCGGGCTCTGGGAGTCAGCCCTGGTTACTGTGGGATGTTTTGTACCCCCATCCCGAGCAGGGGTGGGCTCATTGCTGCCCTGAAGTGTAGGACAGAAAAAGTGGGGGAAGAGTCACAGAATAATTGGAATTATTTGGGTTGGGAGGAGCCTTAAAGTTTGTTCACTTTCACCCCCCTGCCACAGGCAGGGACACCTTCCACTGTCCCAGGTTGCTCCAAGCCCTGTCCAGCCTGACCTTGGACACTTCCAGGGATCCAGAGACAGCCACAGCTTCTCTGGGTACCCTGTGCCTCCCCACCCTCATAGGGAGAAATTTGTTCCCAAAATCCCATCTAAATCTAAGAGGAAGGAGATCTGGGCTGGGAAGGGCGATGCTGTCACCCCCGAGAGATTAGGGTTTGGTTCTCCCTGCTCAGCCCCATCACCTCTGATTCCTCCCGGCAGGTCCTTCACCGCACAGGGCTCAGCAACCCCGATGGGCTGGCTGTGGACTGGGTGGGAGGAAACCTGTACTGGTGTGACAAAGGCCGGGACACCATCGAGGTGTCGAAGCTCAACGGCGCTTACCGCACCGTGCTGGTCAACTCGGGCCTGCGCGAGCCCCGCGCGCTGGTGGTGGACGTGCAGAATGGGTGAGAGTCTGGGGGATGTGGACCTTCCCTCTGTGCTGGGGAAGGGGCTGTGGTCACCTTGTCACAGTCCTGGAGGGTGGGAGATGAGATAAAGGCTTCCTGGGACACCGGGATGCTTCTCCCTACCCTGTGTCCATGCGCCTCCGGGGTGGTTTGGGATGGAAAAATCTTTAAAATCCATCTTGTTCCGCCTCATGCCATGGGCAGGGACACCTTCAACCAGCCCAGGGTGCTCCAAGCCCCATCCAACCTTGGTCACTTCCAGGAATGAGACATCCATAGCTTCTTCCAGGCAGTCTATGCCGGAGCCTCCCCACCCTCACAGGGAGAAATTTCCATGSTTCCCGACTCAACCTCTCCACACTCTTCCATTTCACCCCCAGCTACCTCTACTGGACGGACTGGGGTGACCATTCGCTGATCGGCAAGATCGGCATGGACGGCACCAACCGCAGCGTCATCGTGGACACCAAGATCACGTGGCCCAACGGCCTCACCCTGGACTACATCAACAGCCGCATCTACTGGGCCGACGCCCGCGAGGACTACATCGAGTTCGCCAGCCTGGACGGCTCCAACCGGCACACGGGTGAGAGCCAGAGGAACTCAGGGAGGTCTGGGATGCGTGGGTCAGAGATGTGGACACTGGTCAGCTCTGTGTCCGGGCTTTTTTTTGTGGGAGGGGGATGTGGGGCAGCCCCTYGCTGAGCGCCCGCTCTCCTCGCGCAGTGCTGAGCCAGGACATCCCGCACATCTTCGCGCTCACCCTCTTTGAGGATTTCATCTACTGGACCGACTGGGAGACCAAATCCATCAACCGGGCCCACAAGACCACGGGAGCCAACAAAACGCTGCTGATCAGCACCTTGCACCGGCCCATGGACATCCATATCTACCACCCGTACCGCCAGCCCGATGGTGAGCGGGGC